AGCTTGGACTCAGGGTCTGGGTGCTGTTCCTGAGCTTTTTTGTTCAAGGCCAGTGTTCTACCACTTAAGCTACAGCTCCATTTCTGGTCCTTTTTGGGTTTAATTGAAGGTAAAAGATTTGGGGACTTTCCTGCCCAGGCTGACTTTGAACCTTGATCTCAGATCTCAGGCACCGGAGTAGCTAGGATTATAGGTGTGAGCCATGAGTGCCTGGCTGCTTGTTTTTGTGGTATTGGTACTGGGGTGTGACTCGGGGTCTTGGGCTTGCTAGGTTAGCACTCCTTCACATTAGCCACATCTTCAGCCCTGTTAATTTTTTGTTTTATTTAGTTGGGCTTTAAACCATTTCTGCCCATGTTAGCCTTGAGCTGTGATCCTCTGCGCCCAGTCTCTTCTCTGACAGCACGCTGTGGATGATGTCAGAATCTGAACAGTCACTGGGTCAACCTTAACTGGAAGATGACTAAAGGGTACAGCTGGGTGCCTGAGCAGACACAAAGCTGCTGACAGAGGATCATGGATGCCAGGAACAGCTCCCAAGCTTGGACCCGTGGCGCTGTATTATTGGCTACATCTACATGAAAAGCCCCACTTCAGGCTTAGAATCCCTGCTCTGCTGGGCTGCGGGGTGGGGGAGGACCAGGAGAGTGCTGGGCTGACAAAAGTAAAAGAAGCTGAACACTGAGAAATAGACGCTTGCAACTATGAAAATAGAACAATAAAACCTGTTGAAATTTTGGGAAGGGAGGAAGGGAGTCAGGGAAAGCGACACTAATTGGAATACATTGTAAATGGAAATGGAAACATGAACAATGAAATCCACCCCCTTATAACTAATAACTTTAAAAAGAAAACATTCCCCTAGCTGGGCTCTGGAGTTCCAGGAGAGCAAGCTGGAGGCCCTGATTCCAAACTAGTACTGCAAAAAAAAGAAAAAAGAAAAAATCTTCTTGGCCTCAAATTCCTTGAACATGGTTCACTGTGCACATGTGTTCATGTCACGGGTCTCTGCCCTGCCCAAAGCCGTAATTCTTCAGGGTATCCCCCATGGGTATTTCAGTTGATGCATTATTTTTGGTCTCTCTCTCTCTCTCTCTCCTTTTTCTTTCTCTCCTTCTTTTCTTTTCTTTCTTTTTTTTTGCTGGTCATGGGGTTTGAACTCTGGGCCTGGGCGCTGTCCCTCAGCTCTTCAGCTCAAGGCGAGCACTCTATCACTTGAGCCACAGTGCCATTTCTGGTTTTCTGGTGGTTCATTGGAGATAAGAGTCTCATGGACTTTCCTGCCCAGGCTGGCTTTGAACCATGATCCTTAGATCTCAGGCTCCTGAGTAGCTAGAATTACAGGTGTGAGCCATCAATGCCTAGCTTCTTTTCTTTCTTTCTTTCTCTCTTTTTCCTTTTTCTTTCTTTCTCTCTTTTTCCTTTCTTCTTTCTTTCCTTTCTTTCTT